TAAGTGGCAAATAAGTATGGGGATAGCACAGCTCCTTGAAGGACCTCGGAGTTGTTGACTAACGGTTTCGATATGGCCTTCTCCAATCTAGTGGTTTGTACCCTATCGGTAAAATAGTCGAATAGCCAAGCTAACAACTGCTTGGGACATTCAAACGATTCCATGTTTTGTAACAACTTAGATCGAGGAATGGAATCAAATGCAGAAGAGTAGTCGAGAAAGCTCTACTGACCCTCAGAGTTTACAACGATGAATTAAGCAATCTGTTATTTGGCGCTTGACGATAACTCCTCAAATGACGACATATGTTCCATTCATACAGAGTATGTATTTCGTGTTTTCAACACGGGGTAAAATTAACACGTTACGTTAAAGATTGAATGAAAAAATAACAACGACCTGCGGTGACCGAGGCACGCAGGGTTTAGTTCAGACCTACCTTTCATCGGAGGTTCCTTGAATGCTGCTTGATCAGGCTCTTCTTGTTTGGCTGCTTTTTCGAGTAAATCTTGAGCTAGTTGAGTTTCTTCACCAATCCACACCTGTTACACAGTTTATCAGAGGAAGAACTTATTGATGCTTTCAGACAGTATCAAGTTGTTAATACATTAATCGTACAAGATGATTGTTATGCCAATGAAAAAATCGATACACATGTGATGTCATAAAAGAAATTCGAACTTTCGTCAAAAATAAATCTTTTAAAGGTTGTTCGGATAGAATAGTGTCCACGATATTCCCGCCACCAGTCGGAGACCACAAGTTTCATCATGCTTTGTTTGTGTACCAGAACTCAAGGATTGAGGTTGTTTAATATTTGAATGATTGAAGACAATGAAACGGATACTCAACTGACAAGGGTCATAATTGGTTCTAGGAAGATTAGACTGGACTTTTATGGAGTGTTCTTGCTAAGAATGTGACATTACATACCACGCACAAACACCCCATGAACGTGCAGTGTTTAAACCGCATTGGAACAATAAAGCCCCGGACAGGCGATCGAAATGGGTAACACAACATATTGTACGAATTGACATTAGTCAAGTCAAAGCTTTACGGACCCGATAAGATGAATTTTCAGCATCTGGACCAGTTGCAGTGAGGAAAACGTTAAACATTGAAAAAAGAAGAAAATGAAAATGAAAAACACATGGATTTGATAAAATTTCAATGTGACAGATGATTTTTCAAGTCGGCAATTAATTATATTTGCTCAGTTGACCGAGATACGAGGAAATAAGGGATCGTGCTGTGTTTCGTATGTGATGATGCGTGCTCAAAGAATCCTAAATTTGGAACGCGTACTCGGATGAAACACTGATTTGTTGAGATGGGCATGCAGGCAGTGTTCTTCATTTGACAGTATATGGCTGATAAACCTATCGCATGCATCAAAATGCATGCTCACAATGAAATCAACCAAAACGGTCGTTGAAATGCCACTGCAACAGGAAAGAAGTTTACGAGATCTGGAAAGGCGAATAAAGACTGTCTCGTGTAGACGCAGGAGAAAATACCGTGAAGAATGCAGGCGATCACAAATTTAATAATTACATTTAGGGGAACGGTGAGCTTTTTAAGCCTAAAAGTGTAGATGGATAGTCTACGAACCCTAATATAAATGTTTTCAACATGTTTGGACCAAGAAATATTCTGTGACAAAGTAACTCCAAGATAGTTCACAGAGTTAGAGATGGAGATGGAGATGGTATTACCGTCAACAGAAAGTTCAAAAGGTTTGATGATGAGTACTAAAAGTGATAGTTAAACAATTATCGAAATTAAACAGTAAACATTGGGGCGTGGACCAATTAAAAATTTTATTTAGATAATCTTCAATTTAGTGGAGACAATCAGAATCAGTCGAACACTAGGTCAAGTGATCCGAAAGCATTAACATAATCAAGAAAAATTAAACGGACGATGCCAGCCCCTTTATCCAATAAGGATGAAACGGAGTGAACAACGTGAGCAACAGAAATGAACAGAACCGGGGAAATGTGAGACTTCCTCCTGTCTATTTCAAAATAAAACCACTCATACCGTTTAGAACTGTTGAAATAAATATCTTCGCTGTGGTTTTATCATTAGCTCGAAGTGTGTTTCATTCTATGAAAATTCTCGTGATTATCAATAACAGGTTATTAGCAAAAAGTGTACTGCTCAAGTTACTTAAAGCGAAGAAGGATGACATTCCATTATTGCAGAATGAATCAGTTCAGTTCAGTTTGTACAACCATCAACCACGCATATTCGTGTACCGGTTTTGGTTGCTGTTTTTTGGCTGTCCATCTGGATGAAGAATAGGAGAAGAAAGGAAAGTTGAAAGTGGAGTCGAAAAGAAAATGGAGTTCAGTGGTTTAAGGTTGGAAAGAAATTGAGGAGATGCAAGAACGCCATTGTTTGGGAGAAGTTCAGTGGACTAAGGTTGCAAAGAAAGTGAGGAGATGCACGAACGCCACTGTTTAAACCCAGCCATATCGCTCAGTGTCTCTAACCATCGGTTACGGTCATCCCGAGGTCCCCAGCAAGGGAGCCTAACAGGATCTATGTGACCCAGTCTCCTGGCTAGGGTTTTCATACCCTCGTGCTAGGTCTTAGCTTGATCACCCTTGGCGGTGTTATATCCCATCGAATCACAATCGGATAGTTTGTGAACACTGGAGCATCTAATGAAAGATTCCACCTGAAAACCAACGAAAAAGCTCACGACAGTGAATGAAGCAACCATGGCTTGGTTTACTGCTATGAGCGAAAATCACGAAGAGTTCCCACTGATGGAGAACATTGCTTTTTTAAGAAAACAATTCAGCTAGCACAAAGAATTCATTATCATGACTTCAAAGATTCTTAACTGTTAGAAACAAAAAAACTCGTTTTGTGTAGATATCATAACCGGTAGATCTGACGGTTGGAATTTCGTTTTGCAGTCAAATCAGAATCAGACAAAACGTTCCATTTTGTGACACGAAGACAACAAGAGCAAATAGTGATGGTGGTGGTGTGATGTAATGCAGAAAAGCACCAGTCCAGAGGTGGGACGGGGGGGAGGGAGGGGTTGAATACGGCCAGGATTATCGTACCTCGATATTCGAAGTCTCAATATAACAGCTTTCAATCAGCTCTGGCAGTTGTTTTTCGGAAAACCGACTGTACATTTTATGCACACCGTTGGTTACGTTACATTCGTCACATTTGACGGGATCCGTTTGCGGTTACAGTTAATCAGCTATAGATACAAGTGTTTTCTCTTCACTGGCAGAATTATGCTGAAGGAAAGCGTGTTTTGTGATATTTTACCAAAGTTCCCTTTTCTCGTAATGATCANATCATCAAAGGCTGGGATAGCAATGACTTCTGGGGCCCTATTGGATTGTTAAGGTGACGAAAAAATAGTTGTCTATTGATGAATTTCATCACACACCCAGACAGAGAGAGGGGGGCGTGTGCGAAAAGAGATATGAGCTTAAAATCTCGGAAGTATACTAACTGCACAGTTGTTTTCACTTTATTCAAGTTTCGTCAGCGGTGCCAGTCCATCGACTAGACTGAGGATCAAGCACAGGATCCCATAGGCGGAACGTAAGCACATTACCAAGATGATCCTTGGTGACTCACGCGAGGATCAAGCGTAAACAGCTCAAATCAGTCCATACGGTCTCTTTACTCACTTGACAGATTAAGTCGTACATAGTGCCCCTTTTTCTACGTTCAAGCATCATAGAGTGTTGTGATATGTTCACGATTAAAGTTTTCATTGACAATAAATTTAAATCTATTTGAACTCATATTGAGTTATTTTATTTTCGCTGAGGATTTTTCCTCTAACCATTGCATTTAATGTTTAGTCTGTTTGAAGACTTAGTGTTGTGATTCGGTTATCGTTTTCTTTATTTGAAATCTATAACCGCATGACCGCATTNGAAACACGGACAGAGGTGGATCAATCATCTTCAGAAAGACAGGGGTGAGCTAGGAACAGCTAAAACCTGGTGATCGGTCATTGCCACGGTATTATTTGTACTGGCTTTCATTCATAAAGATTTATGATTCCAATTGCAAACATTATACCATTATTTTACCCGATGGATCAGAACACAAAAAATGGTTAATTCTCATATTATATGATCCGAACCAATCCGGCTCTCCTCGTTACGTGATGCTCAAACGGTTTTTGGTTGTTGTCAATGGTGTATTCCGGGGCCCCGATGTCCAAGACTGATAACATTCAAACCGCCACCGATAATACGCGAAAAGTAGCTTGGCTTTCATTCCACTGGGGACCTTAGTTGAACTTGTTGTGGTCTGCTAAGTTCGAATCCAAAGACTTCGATAGCTGATTAATTGCTAAGAACTAACCATCCTTCGTTGTTATCGGGCCAAATTGAATTGATTGACTATCACTCAACAAATATGAATTGACAATTCGGTTCTGCCATGAGCTGGTTGACACAATGGTAACACACACACACCTTCCACGCGGTGGGTCCAGAGTTCAAATCCCGGACGGGACGGTGGATATGCACTATAACTGAGCTCTAATAAGAGCGAACCCCGAATCTACCCAGTCCGTACCGCGGGACGGTTGACCGTCTTATTTGAGTCCCATTCGAGTCCCGACGGGACTGGCCTACTAGAACCGTCCCATTCGGGTCCAACTTAACTCCCGTCGGGACTGTACATACTTACTTTTATGTACGAAAACTGAACCTGATAAATTACTGGACTGATAAATTAGATACTAAAAATCATTGAAATTGTGTATTTTAATGCCAGTTAAATCGGCTCGCAGTTTGTTTAAATGAAGTAATATCACATGCGTATGTTCAGCGGCGCTCGCCATCATTCGCCATGTCAGATTTCAATCCCCGTGGTTATTCCAGGTGGTCAATATGAAGATATGTTGAATCAAATTTACCAACAATGTTTTCATTCGGCATAGAACAAGAGAATGCAGAGTGTGCAAATAAATCACCCGTAAATCCTTCCGGTCAGTTTTATGGGCAGTATTTATCATTTCGTGCGTTATTCATGATAGTCAACCAATTCGTTTTCCAAGGAGACGCTTCAGTGCCTATAAACGATAGTAATTGTGAAATGCAATTTGCGAAAGAGTCTGATGATTGTAAGTTCAATTTCTATTAGATATAAATCATTTTTGACGCTGTCATAGGTGCGGTGGAAATGCATGTTAGTGATCTACAATGTGATCGGTAAGCGTGTTGTATTATCTAACTGTGTACCAATATGTAGATTGCACTATGAAAAAGAAATTCCCGGGTGAAACTCAAGTCAAAGTACGTGAGCGAATACAAAGATGGATTCAGAAGGCCAGGGAAAAGGTACATCGAAGAGATTACGACAAAGAAAACCAACCAGAAGAATTGCTGATGGCCATTGAATATAACCTGTATAGCTTTCTTGTTAGACACACATTTAACTGTGCCCTATGTATCAATTATTATATCGAAATAATGGGTTCGGGGTGTAAACTTCCTACGTAGATTGCGTTATTCAGCGATGATGTACGCTGAACTAACGTTGGTAAGGATGGCATTTAGATATATCACGTAGATTTTTTCAAGCGTAGTTTAGTCGTAAGTGAGCATGTGCGAGCTAGGAGAAATGTAAGCAACGCTTACTACAATGTAAGGGAGTCCTTTCGAGAGCCGTCCTATAGAGTTCCAGTTGTGTCCTATCTCAGTCCTATCCGGGTCCCATCCGAGTCCCATGGGAGTCCCATACGAGTCCCATTGGAGTCCCGTTTTGGGTGCAAATGGACTCCAATGGGACTCCCATGGGACTCAGATAGGACTCGAATAGGACGACTGTGCGGACTGGGTAGTGCTTCCCAGTGTATTTTTGACTGAATGGACTTACGAGTGTGCGTGGAGGTTAGTCTGACAGATCGTTAATTCTAAACAATGAATCACTTTTTCCACTGCTAATCAGTAGGATGTATAATACAAAAAATCTACCCAGAACGCAAAAGTCTATTTCATTAAATTTCCGTCTTCTGTCCGACGTTCCCATATATCCCACATGTGCAACTGCACTTTTTTCTAAACGGTGGTCAAGTTACGTACATCTGATGAACTATTGATCAGACATGGAACTCTGACACTGAACAATTACTTGTCCTTTCCGTTGAAGAACGAACATCATCCGACCAACCCTGAGCTGCATACACCCCCTCCCTCTGATACACACACTCTATGGTCACTATAGTCATTATCTGATGCCAACATTGTATTTATTATTCTGTTGCCTACTGGCTCTTTGTCATCCCTAAGTGATTTACCGGTTCAATGAGAACGCCAAGGATGGCTAAAAAGTCTGCGTAGTTAGTTTGGTGATGCGAAACTAAAGATCTATGCCATCTTTCGCATATGTTATTTTTTGAAATTTTTACAGAAGAAGCGGATTGAATTAAATGACACAGGAAGTCATGAATTAGTGGGATTCGAGCTCTCACACGGTATCCAATCGAAAAATATTTCTGTTCACAAGAGCAGTCACAATAATCATTCATGCAGTAAATGGATGATTGACTGACTGGATAGACTTGACACACCACCCGAACCACATGGATGCCCTTCGTTCACTTACCGGTTGATTTTGCTGATGCATGATCACAGCTATCAAATTTTGTAACCAGTCCACCTCAGAGAATGTTTGGGATTGTCCATTGGCCGGAATCAGTGGTGCCGTGTCGGTCAACAGATGCGACTTGAAATGACGCAAATGCATAACATCTTTCCACAACTTTTCGGCCAACTCCTTCACCTCTGCTCGTTTACGTAACGGTTTTCGGGGGCGGAGCAGAGCTGGCGAGGTTTTGTCCAAATCCCAATATTGTTCCAACACGGCTCGCAATTGTTCCCGTGATGTTGGACTGATTAAGATCACAATTGGTGGAATACCGAGTAGAATCAATCGACTGACCGCTGTCAAGTTCAGATCCAGCAGACAGTGCGATCCATGTTCAGACATAGCACGCTGAGGAAGTAGCAAATAACGAATAGAATTTGAATTTCACGGAATCAGTCAATCTTTTTAATGGCTCAAAAAGAGTTTGTGAACGTTCTTTTTGATCTTCTATTTCAGGATTTTGTATAAATCAGNTGAACTTAAAGAATGTTCGTGTAACGTTACAATTTCCAGTTATCAAACACACTATTGAAAAGCCCTGGAAGCGCTGAAAGGATGTTTGATCGAGATTCAGGCTAGCCGTTACTGCATATTCGCTAATTTTGTGACAACTGATGCCTGGAATAGCAGGTTTGCGAAACTTTACAAGCGCACGGGAATCCCCCATAGCTGAATCTTAACAGAGATGGAACAGTTTCATACGGTTCGTGATTATTGCCCAATTTGCAGCGGTTCTCAGAATAGGCGTTCCTTAATTTCCGCAGAGCGATAGCAATTTGTGATATGTTTTGCACCTAAATTAATGCTATTCGGTCTAAATAGTTTAGATTTGTATGACTTCACGAACTGGTACTGGTACATTAGCAACCTCAAAATATGCAGAGTCGTGGATAAAACCGAAACTGGTTGACTGAGAGCGTCAATACCAAATAACACCATCGAGACAAGAGTCACTTCTTACTCCCGAGCATTTATCCGCTCTAAAAGAATTAAAGGACAAGTCCGATTTGGTCATCTTAAACCTTGATAAAGGTTCTGGGGCTGTCCTGATGGACCGTAGAGATTATCAACGAAAGATGAAATGTATGCTTAATGACCCCAGCAAGTTCTTCCGAGAAAAAGCATATGATGACCCCAAAGAGCTGGAACGGAAAATTGCCTCTGAAGTTCAGTTTCTA